TGAGGTCAGGGTGAGCAGCTCCTGCTTCACCACAGGGAGGTCAGGAGTGTCAAGTTCTTAGAGGTTCAGTCATATCCCCTCCCCTCTGGCGTCAAAATAGCCTCCCTAGTACTAATCTAGCCTTGAGTAGTCTTTTGGTGGTGGGGTTAAGGGGGATGCTGAAAATTTCTATTTTGTTTTACAAAAGGCAGGATTTAATACAAGAGAGCTCTGTGCTGCACTGGCAAACTCAGGTTTTATACTTTCCACACATGCTGCTACGCTGAGAAAGATTCAGTGAGTTCCTGTGGTCTCCTCAATAACAAAGTTATTAAAGCTGTGATCTTCAGGGGCAGTGTGCAGGAGTCTCTGGAGAAATGAAAGGGCAGGCTTGTAACATTATGAAATGTTAACATGTCATAAGTGTGGCTGGTTCTTCTTAGTTCTTTTTAGGTTATTTTTTTAAGTTGGTTTGGGAAAATATGTACATATGGATATAGATTTTCTAGGCAGTTATACCCACCCCTATCTTCAACCCAAACATGGGGGAGAGGGGGTGGGGGTGGTCATTAGTTTAGTTCAATCAAAATTTCCTAACAATTCATTGACAAGACAGCCACTTTCTGCCAGAGCCATTTATTAACATCTGGGGTGACCACAGTTGGTCTGATTTGCCCTGACCCTCCCAGTGTAGCACTGAAAGTCCCATGTTCCAGGAAACTATTCAGTCAGACAAAATGGGGCAGTTACCCTATTAGCCAGGTCTGTATTCCTGAAGTAGAGAGACATGGGTAGGAAGGGGACATGCTACAAATATAGCTGGTTTTCAAAAACTAACACCCTGATCAATTTCATTTATCAGGCAAGAAGTGGTTTCTTACTTTATGGGGAGGACCTACCTAATATATAAAGGAAATTAAACCTTATCTAGAAATTAGCTGTAATAAATATCACTATAGCAAAGTTTTGAAATACTGGTTTTTTTTTTTCCTCCAATTTCATATTTTAGAGTCTAGTAAACAAAGTCTGCTAGGACAGGCAGACATAACAGTATGAAATAAAAATCTCACATTTCTTTGGTACCTTTTAAAGATCTGGGAAGCCATGCACTGTAGGTGAACACCCTGAAGTTGGAGAAACACCACAAGCAGCACATTCTCCAGGGACCACACCCATAGTACCAAAAGGTCTGACCAGGAAAGGAAACATTGGACTTCAACTTACTTGATCCAAAGCTGAACACTCCAAGGAAACCCCAAGCCATCAATGCCTGCATCTACACAATAGGATTTGCAGTGTTAAGGTGAGAGCTTGTTTCATCAGCTCAGGAACTCTAAATCCTCTCAACCCTTTACAGTGAAATGTCAGATAATCCTACCTCTACCACTTGTGGCACTTCTACCTTTCTGAACAATTGATCTTTTTTACTTGAAGTAGGCAGAATAAACACTCCCAAATAGTCCAAGCCCTAATCCCTGGAATTTATGAATATGTAACCTTACATGGATAAAGGGGCTTTGATGTATGTTTAACTCCAGGACATTGAGCTAGGGGGATTACCATGGATTATCCAGGTGTGCCAAATCTTATCACAGGGGTTCTCACAATCAAAGAGCCTTTCCTGACTGAGTTCAAAGTTAGGAGATGTGACAACTGCAATGTTGTTGGCTCTGAAGATGGAGAAAGAGAATCTCTAGAGGCCAAAGAAGGTAAGGAAATGAAATTTTCCCCAAAAGTCAGGAAAGAAATATAGCTCTATTGATACTTTACCTACAGAACCTTACCTGCAAAACTGTAAATCACATATTTGTGTTGTTTTAAGCCACTACATTTGTGATCATCTGTTAGAGCGATAATAGGAAAAGAATACATTTTCTATCATTGCTGCTGTTCAAATTGCATGATGCCTCAGTAGTATTTAAGTGCCAATATTTGACCATTTCTTACACTGTGTTTAAATTGCTTCTCCATATAAACTTAAAAAAATAGATTTAGTACTAGAGCAAATATGCTTAAAATCCCTCCAACAGTGCAAAACAGTACTTCCTTTTACATGCCTACTTTGTTTAGTTTCCTTCTTTAGTTTGTTAACACAGAGCTTGCTTACATAAGGAACCACTAAGCATAACCAAAACCATTAATTTTGCATGAAGCAAAAATGATTTCAGGTGAAAGTGGAAAAATGCCAGATAACCCCTTTAAAGCTGTGTGCTAAGATGCAGCAGTTCTCAATATCTCGCCAGGACACACTGTGTACCATGATGATGACTGGAAGATGTCATTGGGCTTTTGTGAGAAAAAGACAAGGATACCCAAAGACACGATGAAGAATTCTCCAACTGTCCCATTCAACATGCCAGCAAGCCCCACTGAAAAACTCTGATAAAATGTATTTGAATATTTTAAGAACATTTACTAGCATGAAAAATCAACACCAACACCAAACAATATCACATACTTATAAAGAAGTCCTCATCATTGATAATATTTGGTAGAATGTAGATTTGGTCAACACTTACCTGTAAGATACTACATATCTGACTCAAAAAGCACATCTTTACAAAATAGCAAAAGCTACCTGTGGCCTTAAAAGTGCATGTGTGTTCACAGGCACACACTCACACTTACACACACACACCACCCCCCTCCCCATATACACATATACAACTTTCTTCTAATCAGTTCTAGAGCAACGATTCAACCTGGGAAGCTTTTAATAACCACAAATACTCACACCCCTCCCCCAAGGATTCTGACTCAACTGGTCTGGGTAAGGTCTGTCTAGTAGTATTTTTAAATGATTTCCTGGAGATCCACACACAACCAGGACAGGACCACTGCTCTGTGTCCTTTATGAGTAGCTGATAGGGCATTGCACCTGGATGTGCAATACATATTTGACACTGTTCCCCTCTTTCTATAATTTGTAGCCTAGTTTTCACCACCCATTTAATCTCCCAAAAGAAAAATCTGGGAGTTATTCTAGTTATTCCTGTATTCCTCATCTTTAATTAGCAATTCCACAAGGTATTATATATCTGGTCCATTATTTTCAAATCCATGGTCTCTCTTGGTCTCCCTTCCATTACTTTCTCATCATTTATCTTTCACTTTGCAATCTAAGGGAAGTATCCTTACAAATATATGATTATGTGCTTTTCTCTTTCTTTCTATCTAAGCTAGGATCCAAATTGTTGAGCATGACACATCTTCCCAAGTGTCATCGGCCTGCATCTAAAGCTGTATCTCTTTAGTCTGCTACTTCCCAGGCACACTATGGCCACTCTAAATTTCTAAGGGTTCCCAGAAATTGTTATGCTTTGGGGGTGGAGGGACTTTGTGAATTTTCACATATGATTCTTTTTTCTCAAAATGCTTTTCCCTTTTTTTCTGACCGACGGAACTTCAAACGAAAGCACCAGTTCCTCTTTATCCATCAAGCTTCTCACTAAATTCCCTACCAAGTTAGTCCTCTCCTCTGGCATCCATAGCATCTGCTCAGATTCTACCAACCCTAACTGCAGAGCCCTCCCTTGTATGGTTTTCTCCTTCACAAGGCTGAGCAACTATGGACAAGACCAATGTGTTTTTATGTTCATCACCTGGAATTCACTCATTTGTTCATTCATTCAACAGTTTTATCATGAAAAGTGCAAAAAAAGCTTGCTCAACACCAGCAGCAAAATGGTCAACAAGTGAGACACTACTACCGTTCTCTCCAAGTTAACATTCTTGACAGGGAGGCAGATCACTGCAAGGACATTTGTGATAGCTTAAGAAGGAACATCAGAGAATTGGGAATAGTTTCGTATTTGCTGTGTGTTTTTAAATTCGTAATATATCAAAAAGTGGAGGTATTTCAAAAAGTTTTTAAAAATATGCATATTCTCAATGTTTACATTCATCTGTTAAAGTTGCAATACAAGTGTCATCTTTTCATTCTTTCATTGCACTTCAGGCAGATATAACCTCATTTGGAGATGTCAATGTCTAAATTTGAGGACCTCATAATAATGAGGTGAGAGAAAGTGGTTCTCTTACCCTAAGAAGTTTCTTACACTAGTAAATACTAAGTATTTGCAGAATAAGTAAATGAATGGAATGACTAGTTCCAGTAAACTAAGTGAGGTTATAAGTTTTATTTCTTATTAACATTTTGCTATAGCCACTAAATAGTTATGTCAGCAAACCATTAAAATCCAAAAACCAAGATAAGTCACTAACAGTTAATCCCATGGGGGAAAATTAGAAGTGAGTAGGATATAAATGAAACAGTACTTGCCAGGAGTTGATAATTATTGCAATTGAGTGATATGGATATGGAAGTTATTATATTTTTCTCTTTACTTTGGGATATGCTTGCAATTTTTCCTAATGAGCTTAAATTTTAAAATAAGACAAAAATCCTAGTTACTGACTGTTGGTTGGGGAAGGGAAACCCATTATCATGTGTCTCAGAAATGTGGTAACCTTTTAAGTCTACAACCAGATTCAAATGGATTTAGCTAGTTTCAAAAGCCAAGTCAGCTTCTTCAAAAAGCAACCCCAACATCATTCGATTGACCGTTTGCTGTTGTTATTGCTGCTGGAAAAGCCCTTACATCTACAACCAACCTGTTAAGAACTGGGTTCACCCTTCTCTGATTTAATCTACTCTGACGCATCTCACACAGGGTATGTCTACAATGGCTGCAACGATTAATCATGTTTGATACCACAGGGATACATTTAGTTAAAGTAGCAATCTCAAAGACTCTCTAATTCAGATTTTTAAAAGAAAATGTAAAAATCTGGGTGAGAAATATGATATAAACCATCATCAAGGAGAGTCATTTTTTTTTTCTGAAATACTCTATGCGAAATACTCTATGCGAAATACTCTATGACTGTTTCTTGTGGATAAAACATCACATGCTAGATGCTTTCATCTATGGGATCATTTAAAGTATTTTCTTCCTCTTGAAGTTCTAATTATTATAGATTAAGAAAATACCAGAAAAAAAGTATTTCCAAATTCTTACCTTTTCAGTTCCCAAAGTCTGAGACTAGCTGGCAGATCTAGCTGTTGAGAAAGCAGAGAGAAAATTGTATTATTTTAATGGAGAAATAACAAGATACATAATAGCTGAACAAACAAGTGAGTGGTTCTGTCAATAGGATTTGCTGGTAATGGCTGAATAGCTTGAAAGGCCAAGGGTCTTACAGGTTTACATTTCTGAGCCAAGAAACAAATATGTTGTTAACTCTGTCTTTTAAGAACAAACTTGTGAAAATAGGAGTACCTTTTTCTGTGAATTTCCCAAGGTTGCAAGAAGACATGAAAACACAGAGTTGGCTTGGGAAACTGTTTTTGGTAACCGAGATTGATGAAAAAGAACAGGGATTTTTCCTGACCTCGTCTGATTTGCTACCAGCAAGATCAAAGTGCAGAGACAGAACATAATCTTGCTTTAGGTGTTAGGGACAGAGTTAGGGTTCCATTCATGCATATGTAAAACTTGAAGGCAGTTAAGCTAGTGGTTGGAACCAATTACTGATTACAAAAGCATCTCTACCATCTAAAGCTTCTACAGGCTCTTAAGAAGTAGAGATACCTATACCCCTAGCTATAATGGCATCTGAGGTTATTGAACAGAGTTGATTGAATTTTGCCAAGTATGGTTCATAGCTGAGAAGCTCCTTACATCCAGCTCAAAGGGAACTGCCTATTCCTTGGACTTCGAAGTGCTTTACCATTCCTATTTTGTTGTGTCTCAGAATAAAGTACCTTGCCTCTAGAGTACAATGAGTATGGAATAAAATTCACAATGGGTCATAGGAACAAATAAACATCAATGTTTCTAGAGATCTTGCACTAGTTAAGACTGGAACACATCCCACAAAATCAACCCAACCAATTATATTCCCAGATGACTATATGGGGTGATATATTTTTAAATGAGTCAAAGTTATTAGAAAACTATTATCTCATGATTAATGACAGCAAAGGTGGAAAAAAGCCAAGGACAAAAAACAACCTATTTTTAGAGACTGAACCCTAAGGATAACAATTATTAGTGGGACTTGAAAAATAAGCCTGTTCAAGGTGCTCAGACATTATTAGTGATAGCATAAATTGGCACAACTTCCCTTTGGTGTTCTTTATTGAGATCCTAAAATATATTCTCAATCATTACCTTAGTGATGCCACTCCCTGACTTTCTTTAAAAAAAAGTAGAATTATTACCAAGGTGTTAGAAATATCAATAATAATCAACCTGTTAGGGACAGAGAAACTTCACATGATGAACTTTGAAACAATAAATAAAAATACTTTCAGTGATGAAGAAAAAAATACATGCTATAAAGTTATGTGAAGAGAGAATATAAAATTGTGTGTAGTACAACCTCATATATATTTTCTAATATATATTTCATATATATATTTTTCTAATATATATTTAAATATATTTTCCAATGCATTTTTTATATTTTTCATATGTAATATTCTTCCATAACATCTTACATGATCTTCTAATAAATAGTGTATGTATATAGGATAATGGAAGTAGCAGAAATTGCTAGATATACCCCAATAGTTGCTGTCATCTTCAATGCCTATACAGGTTTGCCCCACTGTCCAAAAGTAAAAGATTCCTATTTGATATGATTTAATTGTTTGGGTTTTTTTTTTTTTTTTTTTTTTTTTTTTGCCTCTGGGAATGCTATTACCATTAATTTAGATGGGTTAGCAATTTTTTTTAAGATTTATTTATTTATTTATACAAGCACTGGGTACAGTCAGAAGCGCAGGAAGGTGAGAGAATTCACCAGAGCCAGAGGGGAGAACAGAGCAGGCAGACTGACGAAGCACACTGCTGAGGGGAGCAGCGGGCGGCAGCAGAGGTCTGCGAGCCATGTGGGACCCTCGTTGGTGGCCGGGGATGGAATCAGCACTGCAAAGGCTGCGGGCAGCTTCGCAGCCCAGCGCTCAACCGCTTTGCCACTGGGGAGGCCCGGGTTAAAATATTTGAGCATCCCCAGAATCCAAAAATAACTTACCAAATCCTATCAAACAAGAATCTCTATTATTTTATACCAGGGGAAACCTGGTATAGCATTTTAAAGTAGGTACATCCATATCAAGAATAACTGCTTTTCCCAGTCTCCCACCCTGCTAGGTGTGTGATCATGAGATAAAGTTCAATGGGAAGGTTGCAAAAGTAGTATGTGCACATTTTGGGCTAAGCTCTCCTCTTTCCAACTTACTTTCTTCTTGCTGGTAATAATGGGGTCCTTATGGCAAGCCACCTTAACATAAGGCCAGGGAAATTTGCTGAGTGAATGAACATCATAGAAGGAGCCTGGGTCCCTGAATGATCTTATGGGGTAGAACTGTCTTACTAGTCCTGGGCCAGCGGTTATGTTGAAGAGAAATCACTCATAACTTCTGTCAGCAACTGTGAAATCAAGTTTCTGTTACATACAGTTCAGCCAACAACCTAATTAATAGAAGGAGTCATTCTTACTGTTTTTACAATTTTTCCCAAATTTTTTCAATAATTTCCATGAATTACTTTGATCATCAGGAAAAAATTTCAAGTCAAACTTTGTTTACTAACCTTAAGAAAATTAAGATAGCACAGGATGAAGTTTGAGTAGCATATGCTTTCTTTGCATATGTAAAAAGTAAAATGAAATCTTTAGTTGCAAATAGTAGCTTTTACCTCATATGCCAGGGTACAAATCACACACAAATTCCCTGAGTTTATGTGATCTTTTAATCACATCCATGGCACTTCATTTTAAGTATTTAGAAAACAGTTTTAATAAGAAAACTCTTCAATTCTAAATAAAATCTATTTGAGTAATTCTCTAGAAAATAAAACTCTAGTCAATGCATTTTAGTTATCCATTTAATAAGACACCTTGACTTCTTAAAGTGAACTTGGAAACATTTTTAAAAACAGTTTTGGATGTACACTCATACATTTAATTTAAGGCTTTGGTTTGTTCTCCATACAGTCCATAATGAATCATTCCTACAGTAGTAATTCTACTGGTCCAATAACTCTGCTGACTGTTCATCAGCTAGATGTATGCTTTGACTTGACTTCCCCCTGGAGTGGTGATTCATTTGGTAGAACTCACAAGACGTCCCTGGCTTCCTCTGTGACCTACTGGGCCTGTGTTATGACCATCCAAGATAAAGGAGCCATGCCTAGTCCATAAGATAAAGAAAAGATCAGCTCTGAAACTCTGACCTCACAATGCACTGAGTTTCCTTTAAATCTAGAATAATGTTATACCAGCAGCATTTGGCGCTTTTTAGTGGATCAATAAAGTCCTATGCATATGTACAGGAGACATTTCACCAGGTAGACCTTGGACACTTCTATGTAATTATATATCAAATAAAGAACCTACTTTTCCCTCCTTTCCAAGAGAATGCCAAATGGTCCTTTTCTCCCCTGTGAATCACAGCACCCAACACTAATATGGCTAACTTACATTCAATAACAAAGGCAGGATGCCAGAATTTCTTCATTTCCCTCTCAGGATGGCTGTGCCAGTATGTTCTCAAGAACCCCCTACAGTCTCTCTTCCAATAGGCAAATTGAAGCTGATAGTCAAAGCTCTGAATTCTCCATTTCTTTCCCCTCTTGCCTTTACAGGAACATAAGCAAGCCAACTCGACAGGCCTAATTACCATGGTAACAACATGCACTGTGATTATGAGTGTGTTTGTTTTTTAAAATGACTCACAGATTGTTCCCCCAGAAGCCCTAGACACACAGGTTTCTGGCTGGTTTATAAAATCCATCTAAAGTTTTCGTGCAAATTTTTCTTACTCCTATTAGCATAACTGGTACAATAGAGAGAGATTCATCAAATCAGATATGCCCTTCTCCTTGAGGATGAAAAAAAAAAAACCCACTTGGTTCCTTAAAAACTCCAAGATTAATCAATTTAAAACTCAGGTTAATAATGAAATTAATTTGAGTTTGTACACTAGAGATAATTAATCTGGTCCTAATTTAAATAATTAAGGTATTTCATAATGTAGTTTTAGAGACCCAGATGAAATAATCAAGTGAAATAAAATCAGCAGTAAAAAAAAATCAAACAGAATAGGCTAAATCTGAGGACATGTGGTCACACGTAAAGAGCTACAAAGAAATAAATGGAAATCTTAATACCAAGATGATTTCAAATCAATGTCTAAAATAAAGACATTTACTTTAAAAATGCAAACCTGAAAGAATTCACACATTTGGGGTGCTGTGGATTACCACCATTCAATTATTTCATACATATTATTTAGGACTCTCAATGTACTAAGCGCCATGTTTATAACTGGAACACAGAATCTGGGTTTAGGAAAGACTATTTTCCTATGCAGAAAATGGCTCCTATGAAGGGCAAGGCTCAGTGCATTAACTTCTTTCAGAAATAATCTCTGCTTCACAGAGACCCTTCTGGGTAAGCTCTCAGCTCGGCCTGGAATTCACAGCCCTGGTTTTGTCATTACCAGTGACTCCCTCAAAAAAACAAAAAAATGCCATTAATTTTGGTCTCTTGATATCCCTCTCTGTGAAATGGAACAAAACTTTATTTGCAAAGAAATGAAAATGGAAATATTTATATAAATCTATTAAACTTAAGACTTTATGTTTCTTGATGCTTATATAAATAATTACCTAAAATGCCTATGTCCACATTACTACACATTTCATGTATTGTTACCAATAGCATACTTTTGCTCAAGAGTTTGAAGGGAAAACAGTGTAGCTGTCAGGCTAAGCTAGGTTGCACTGTATTAATGAACAATTCAAAAATTTCAGTGGCTTATAACTGCAAAGTTTATTTCCACCATTTTTTTAAAAGATTTTATTTATTTATAGAAGAGCTGGGGTACAGGCCAGAGGCGCAGGAGGGTGAGAGGATTCACCAGAGATAGAGTGGGGAGTAGAACAGGCAGACGGACCGAAAATACTGCTGAGGGGAGCAGCAGGTGAGACAGGAGAGGTCTGCCGTGCCATGTGAGTATCTCCCTGGCCGGCTGGTAATCGAACCTGCGCT